AGGAAGTCCTATAATCAAGACTAATATAGACAGGATACACACATGCAAATACACACACATGCAAATACACACACGTGCAAATACACACATGCAAATACACACACATGCAAATACACACACATATACAAATACACACCTTTATTTGTGGAAGACAGACATATTATGTACAATGCACAGGACTACTGTATGTTCGCAATGAGACTTCAGATGACCTTGTGGTTTGAAAGGCCATTGTAACCTGGACTTGGACAGCGACGGGTGAGGTTGTGTCTTTCTGGCGGGAGGTAAGCTTGGCTCATATGGTGTCGAGTAAAGATGAAACCATGTATTTAGATTGTAGGTAGGTAGGTATTGTAGGTAGTTTATCTAGGTAGTTATTGTAGGTAATTAGTGTCGGTAAGTATTGTATTCGGCTGAGCCCGGTGAAGCACAAGGCTAGCTAACTCACTACCTGGACCAATAAAGCTAGCTAGCTACTGGTAACTATCAGCAACTGTGGATAATTGTTTCCAATGTTATTCCACGCTTAAGAGTACCTGTAATTATGCCAGCTAGCTACCTACCATTCAGCTGTTTTTCTAACCTCATTATCTGAAGCGTTAACGTTAGGTAGTTAGTAGCTACTGTACTCGAAATGTAGCTACCTGGATAGCTAACTAAACAATAGCTGGAACGACCTAGCGTTAATATTTGTAGACGCTTTCTCTCCGTTGGGACAGACGCGAACTGGCTGAATCGATTCAGTGGCTAGCTTTGCACTTAACTGGCTAACAGTAGCTACTAAGGGTAAGCTATAACCTACATTTATTTTTGTTTTGTTTTTACATACTGGTAACCAGAGTCGTTCAAGGGAATCGGGACATGGGTGACTAGCTAACGTTAGCTTGGCTCTCTGTGTGTTCGTGCCGTGGGAGGAGGGGTTAGTTCGTTGGCAGAGAGCAATTGCTAGCTAGTATTCTAACTATTCTAGCTAACTAACTGGCTGAATAAGTTGACGACGTACTCACTCAAACTGTCAACACTACCCCAAAACTTTACACAACGTTAGACACGGACACGAATGATCTGCTTGGCGTGTTAACACACTGGTGGTTTGTTGTAACCGAGTATTGGTGCTAAACCGTGTTATTGGAGGCTGGCATGCTAGTTGGCTTTGGAGTCATATGATTCGGTGTACCAAGTTAGCTAGCTGAATAAACTAAGTTAGTCTATTCCTAGAAACATTGAACAGCTGTAGTTTACAACAATTATAATTTCTAAAGTGGAAGTTGGGAGAGTTATATTTTAGTGTTTCAGTGAAACGTAAGTGAGGGAGGCCCCGCTCTCTCGCTTTCCCAGATGTTTAGTTCATTTCATTCCGATCTCCTCTGCATTATTGTAGCCTTTCTCTGTAGCCTGTCAACTATGTGTCTGTCTATCCCTATTCTCTCCTCTCTGCACAGGCCATACAAACGCTTCACACCACGTGGCTGTTGCCACTCTAATCTGGTGGTCCCTGCGCGCACGACCCACGTGGAGTTCCAGGTCTCTGGCAGCCTCTGGAACTGCCGTTCTGCGGCCAACAAGGCAGAGTTCATCTCAGCCTATGCTACCCTCCAGTCCCTCGACTTCTTGGCGCTGACGGAAACATGGATTACCACAGAAAACACTGCTACTCCTACTGCTATTTCCTCGTCTAACCATGTGTTCTCGCATACCCCGAGAGCATCTGGTCAGCGCGGCGGTGGCACAGGAATCCTCATCTCTCCAAAGTGGACATTCTCTCTTTTTCCCCTGACCCATCTGTCTATCTCCTCATTTGAATTCCATGCTGTCACAGTCACTAGCCCATTCAAGCTTAACATCCTTGTCATTTATCGCCCTCCAGGTTCCCTTGGAGAGTTCATCAATGAGCTTGACGCCTTGATAAGTTCCTTTCCTGAGGATGGCTCACCCCTCACAGTTCTGGGTGACTTTAACCTCCCTACGTCTGCATTTGACTCATTTCTCTGCCTCCTTCTTTCCACTCCTTTCCTCTTTTGATCTCACCCTCTCACCGTCCCCCCCTACTCACAAGGCAGGCAATACGCTTGACCTCATCTTTACTAGATGCTGTTCTTCTACTAATCTCACTGCAACTCCCCTCCAAGTCTCCGACCACTACTTTGTATCCTTTTCTCTCTCGCTCTCCTCCAACACTACTCACTCTGCCCCTACTCAGATGGTAATGTGCCGTCGCAACCTTCGCTCTCTCTCTCTCCCGCTACTCTCTCCTCTTCCATCCTATCATCTCTTCCCTCTGCTTAATCCTTCTCCCTTCGATCTCCTGATTCTGCCTCCTCAACCCTCCTCTCCTCCCTTTCTGCATCTTTTGACTCTCTATGTCCCCTATCCTCCCGGCCGGCTCGGTCCTCCCCTCCTGCTCCGTGGCTTGACGACTCATTGCGAGCTCACAGAAGAGGGCTCCGAGCAGCCGAGCGGAAATGGAGGAAAACTAGACTCCCTGCGGACCTGTCATCTTTTCACTCCCTCCTCTCTACATTATCTTCCTCTGTTTCCGCTGCTAAAGCCACTTTCTACCACTCTAAATTTCAAGCCTCTGCCTCTAACCCTAGGAAGCTCTTTGCCACCTTCTCCTCCCTCCTGAATCCTCATCCTCCTCCCCCTCCCTCCTCCATCTCTGTGGATGACTTCGTCAACCATTTTGAAAAGAAGGTTGACGACATCCGATCCTCATTTATTAAGTCAAATGACACTGCTGGTCCTGCTCACACTGCCCTATGCTTTGACTTCTTTCTCCCCTCTCTCTCCAGATGAAATCTTGCGACTTGTGATGGCCGGCCGCCCAACAACCTGCCCGCTTGACCCTATCCCCTCCTCTCTTCTCCAGACCATTTCCGGAGAACTTCTCCCTTACCTCACCTCGCTCATCAACTCATCCTTGACCGCTGGCCATTTCCCTTCCGTCTTCAAGAGAGCGAGAGTTGCACCCCTCCTCAAAAAACCTACACTCGATCCCTCCGATGTCAACAACTACAGACCAGTATCCCTTCTTTCTTTTCTCTCCAAAACTCTTGAGCGTGCCGTCTCTAGCCAACTCTCCTGCTATCTCTCTCAGAATGACCTTCTTGATCCAAACCAGTCAGGTTTCAAGACTGGTCATTCAACTGAGACTGCTCTTCTCTGTGTCACGGAGGCTCTCCGCACTACTAAAGCTAACTCTCTCTCCTCTGCTCTTATCCTTCTAGACCTATCCACTGCCTTTGATACTGTGAACCATCCGATCATCCTCTCCACCCTCTCCGAGTTGGGCATCTCCGACGCTGCTCACTCTTGGATTGCGTCCTACCTGACAGGTCGCTCCTACCAGGTGGCGTGGCGAGAATTTGTCTCCGCACCATGTGCTCTCACCACTGGTGTCCCCCAGGGCTCAGTTCTAGGCCCTCTCCTATTCTCTCTATACACCAAGTCACTTGGCTCTGTCATATCCTCACATGGTCTCTCCTATCATTGCTACGCAGACGACACACAATTAATTTTCTCCTTTCCCCCTTCTGATAACCAGGTGGCGAATCGCATCTCTGCATGTCTGGCAGACATATCAGTTTGGATGTCGGATCACCACCTCAAGCTGAACCTCGGCAAGACGGAGCTGCTCTTCCTCCCTGGGAAGGACTGCCCGCTCCATGATCTCGCCATCACGGTTGACAACTCCATTGTGTCCTCCTCCCAGAGTGCAAAGAGTCTTGGCGTGACCCTGGACAACACGCTGTCGTTCTCTGCTAACATCAAAGTGATGACCCTATCCTGCAGGTTCATGCTCTACAACATTCGCAGAGTACAACCCTACCTTACTGTTGAGACTTCTAGCTCACTCAGGAAAAGAAAAAATAAGAAAAAAATATATATATATATAAATAGATAAAAGAGAAGCAAATGGGTCTGATGTGTTCAATTAAATGGGGAACGAGTGATTTCTTTAAGTTTCTTAGATGCTCGGATATGTTACGTAATGTGCGCATGCGCAGCTTCACTAGAGACTTAAATGATGGCACCTGGTAATCATTTCACGACAGACAATCATCAGGAGCACACAGCCCGTTGGTATGTAACTGCGAACTACTCACAGTCTAGCATTAATGTTTAAGTCACTTATATGTTTGAGCACTGAACGTTTACCTCACTCTGTCGGTGTTAGTTGGCCGAGAGTAACTTGTAGCTCGCTGGGTGCGGTAGCTCAGCGACCCAGATGCTGTATAGCATTAGGCTATCATTATCAGCCATTTGCGTTGTGCTGATTGTTCAGAGCACTCTGCTGGTTTCTGGTGGCGGTGGTTTGGTTCGGTGATCCATGGTGGAGCGCCGCGTTGTGTTGCGTTTGTGCATGTGTGGGTCCTTTGGACGAGGCATGTGGTGGCATGGGTTCTGTGTCCTGTGGCAGCATCCGTAGCAACGGCGGAGTCGCTGTGCGCATGCTCCTCTGGCGCTAGGCATTCTGGGTGATGTAGTCAATGCTGTTTTAAGCCAGATTTGCCACATTTTTGATGGTGTTGTAGGCTTATTTGATTATCATTATTTACATTATTATTATTATATTATTTGAATAATATTTACATTATATATTTGAATAATATATTGTCATTATTTGTTTGTTGTAATTCAGGTTTATGACCTGTGGTCATTTGATTTAAAATAAAATTAAGGACAAAACACGAGTCATGACATTGTGTGCTTCCTGGTGAGCCTTTTCGGAGGGCTAAATAACGAAAAATCCAAACAGTCATAAACCAAGGTTCTCCTTTTACATGGATAATGCAAGGACTAGAACATTCGTCATGAGACTAACTTCTGATAAGCTAACAGTCCACCCATAAAGCTGTCTGCTCATCTGCTGACTTACTAGGCAAATCATTAATGAGTGAAAGCCAAGAAGAGGATAGAGTCTACAGTTAAAGCACTACTTAAAACCCAGTTGGCGGAAAACACTTGAACTTGAGTTAAACGCTAGAAAAGTTGGCAAGATGGCAGCATCAGAGGAGGAGCTGGAGAGGCTAAAACAGAAGCGGTCAGCAGCCCAGACTGCGTTCACTAGAAGAGCCAATTACCTCGCCCCCAGAGCTAGTGCACTGGGGGAAAGTGAAATGAGAAGTGAGTGGAGGAACTTTAAAGTGGATCACTCCAGAGTCAGAGATGCAGGGTTTGAGTATGCCACGGCCCTGCGAGAAGTGGACGACGATGAAGTAAAAAAGAAGGCGGAAAACGTTGACGGAAAAACAGCAGAATGTGACTTTAAGTTTGATGAAACTGAACAAATCATCCTGATCAACTTCTGGACAAGGTTCGCTGAGGCGGAAATTACCACCCTCACTGAAGAGGCTGGATCAGCCATGGACCAGGCCGAGGCAACGGATCACCACCATATGACCAGGAGGGAATGTGAATTGATTCATAGGAACCTGGAACGGGAGGTCTACAACTTCGAACGAGGATTGGATGAGTGGAAAGATTTGATCCCTCGGTCCAAGGCAACAGAGTCAAAGGACCAGATCCGGAAGTTGAAGAAAAGGCGTGAAAACTGTGGGATGAGTGGGCATGGAAAGGCGGTTCTCAATCCGACGACGAAGAGAAACTGGGAAGAGTGAAAATTGTGGAGCAGGAGGAGCCAGTTGGGGCTTACAACTACAGGCCCCAGATCAGCCTAGAACGTGCACGCTTGCCCATGTTTGCTGGTAATATGAGGGATTACTACCGCTGGAAAGCTGAATGGGAGGACTTGCAACGTCTGGGAAACCCTCATGGATTGGAAAATGTGAGGAAATTCCATCTCTTGGGAAGCCTAGATGAAAAGGTCAAGAGGGACCTCGTATTGTCCAGCTGTGGATCCGCCAATGACGTGTTCAGGCTCCTGGACAACAAGTACGGAAATAAGCCGAAAATAGTGCTGCTGATTGCACAAGAAGTGCAAGGACTTTTCCCCATTAAAGGAAACCATCCGAGGAAGACAATCGAACTGATTCAAGCCGTGGAGAGAGCTCTTCGTGACCTACAAGTCTTAGGGGAGGAAGATGCTGTAAAGAACAGAGTGGTTGTGCAGTCGATTGAAAGTAAGCTTCCTGACTCCCTGAAGGAAAAGTGGTTAACACACAAAAATGACCCTGAAAGCGGGTTTTCACCACGCAACCACTTCGACTGTCTACTGCAATACTTGAAAAAGCAGGAGGACATTCTCGAGGAGCTAGACCAGCTACAGCCTAGCCCGGCAGACAATACTGAGAGGTCAATCGAAAAGAAAAAAGAAAGGAGGGCATTCACCAGAGCCACATCAGGAAACACCCTAAAGGGCTCTCAACCAAGCTCATGCATCACATGTGGAGACAACGAGCACAGAGGTAGGCTGTTCGCCTGCAAGGTCTTCAAGAAGCTCAATCTGACAGGCAAGAAGGCTCAGATTAGGAGAGCAGGAGCATGCTTTAAGTGCTTGCGCCTTCATGGTGACGATGGCGGCTGCACACAAAAGTATCTATGCTCAAAGGATGACTGTCAGAAAGAGGGCTCTTCAGACCACAATTACTTGCTCTGTCCAAAGCCACAGATCAAGAAGAAAGAGGAAAAGAGCGGAGAGCAGAGCGAGGCAAAATTGGGGAAAAGGGGGCTTGGACTAACCAACGAACAGGAGGAGCTCCTTGCCAAACTTTCTCCAGAGCTGCGAGCAGAGTTCAAAGAAGCCTTTTCAAATAAGATCACGACAAAAGTGTGTGCTAGCACTGGTTGTGAGCCAAAAGAGTGCCCTGTCATAATGATGCTGTTGGATGTGACGACAAACTCTGGCCAGCTAGTCGGTACGTTGATTGAACTCGCTTCAGATACTAATTATATCTCTAATAAAGCAGCAGAGCGTCTCAAGCTAAATGGTGAGAACATTAAGTTGATTGTCCAAGGTGTTGGAGGGATGGAGAAAACCATTACTACCAAGAAGTATACCCTGAGGCTGAGAGTAAAAACTCCCAAAGGTACAATAGCAGAGCACAAACTCCTTTGTTACGGCTTGGAAGATGTTGCGAAGGTGAACCAGGCTGTCACGCCACAGCAACTGCAGAAGTTCTTTCCAAATGTTCCACTCAAGGACTTGGTCCGGCCCGAAAAGATCGACCTGTTGATTAGCCACAGGGAGGGTCGCCTGGTCCCACAGCCAGTCAGAGTAGTTGGAGACCTCGTCCTCTGGGATGGCCCCCTTGGGAAGACTGTTGGTGGAACGCATCCTGACCTCTTTGAAGTGATCGACCTAGCAGTGCACAGGTCTGAAACACATTTTGCTAGGTCAATGAGAACAGCTTCAAGGGCATACAAAGAGATTATCGTGAAGACGGAAGGACCCAGTGGAGTTTCGGTGGAAGAAGAAGACGCAATCCTCCGAAACACTGCAACTACCAACAAAGACGTTTTTGAATGGTTCAAGTGGGACAGTATTGGCGCCACCTGTGACCCTCAGTGTGGTGGCTGCAGATGCGGTAGGTGCCCCCCTGGAGGCAAGGAAATTACCCTAGGAGAGGAAAGAGACTTGGAGAAAATAAAGGAATGTCTCACCTACGTGCAAGCTGACAAGCACAGCGAATCCCCTCACTGGGACGCAGCTTACCCGTGGAAAGGAGACCCCGCAACGCTGCCTGACAATCGACGTGCAGTGGAAGCGACCTTTTTAAACACTGAGAAACGACTGGAGAGGGAGCCGGAATGGAAGGCTGCGTACAGAGAGCAAATCCACGATATGGTCTCAAGAGGGGGCTGCCGTTAAAGTCACCCAAGAGGAAATCGATAGCTGGAAGGGACCTAAGTGGTATATCAGTCATTTAGTTGCTCCTAATCCTCACTCAACCACTACCCCTGTAAGAATTGTCTGGAACAGTAGCCAAGAATTCATGGGAATAAGTTTAAATGACCTACTGTACAAGGGTCCTGATGTTCTAAATCAGATAAGGGGCGTGCTTCTGAGATTCAGGACTGGGTTGTACGCCGCCCTGGGCGATGTGAAAAAAATGTACAACTCTGTCTGGCTAGAAGACAAAGAAGTACACCTCCATCAATTCCTCTGGAGAGACAATCCTGAGGAGGTGATCGAAGTCTTTGCTGTCGTCAGGGTCAACATTGGCGATAAACCTGCTGGTTGTATCGCCCAGGTGGCAATGAGAGAAACAGCCAACCTGCCCCAGTTTGCAGCCATGGTTGAGGAGCGCAGAGTTGTGGTAGAAGATAGTTATGTGGATGACATCTTGACGTCCCACAATGACTTGCAGATACTGGAGAAAATCACCAAAGGAGTGGAAAATATCTTAAAGGCTGGAGGCTTCTCCCTTAAGCCATGGGTCTTATCAGGCCAAAGTGGGAGGTCCGCAACCACAACTGATGCCAGTTTCAGTAAGACAACTGTGAGTGTGCCCAAAACGCTGGTGTTACCCAACCAGATGCGGGACGAAGAAAGCAAAGCACTTGGAGTCGGCTATGAACCAGAGACTGACAAACTTCGTGTGATGACCTCCGTACATTTCTCAAAGAAGAGAGGAAAGATGAGGACAGGAGTCGATTTGCGCGAAGAGGAAGTCATAGGTAAAACTCCAAACCCATTGACCCGTCGGATGCTGCTAAGCCAGATCGCTGGCTTCTACGACCCCATTGGTCTTGCCACACCCGCAAAGCAGAAAGGGGTGATGCTTGTGAGAGAAGCTTACCAAGAAGCGAGTATAAGCAGTCCAGTTAAGAACACTTGGGATGACCCCTCTCACCAAAACTACGGGAGGCTTCCATAAGTCTCCTCGAAGAATATGTGAGACTTGCCCAGATCAGGTTAGAAAGAAGCCTCACACCAACCGGAACCATAGGCCATCCAATGGGAGTCACGTTTTCAGATGGGAGTGAGGCTTCCTACGGCGTGGTGCTCTATCTCCGTTGGGAGACGCAGAATGGGGTCGTAGTGAGGCTGGTTGAGTCAAAAGCAAAGCTTACCCCTCTCAACCAGAAAGGAGACGTGATTAAGGCAGAGGTATGTGGTGCTGTCTTTTCGATCCGCCTGAGAAAATACCTTGTAAAGCACTGCCGCATCAAGGTCGCACGCTGGGTCCACTTCGTGGATAGCCAAACAATCCTGGGAGCAATTCACAAGGATAGCTATGGCTACCAAACATTCTTCGCTAACCGCATCGGAGAGATCCAGAAGGCTGGACCACTGGAAGACTGGAGGTGGATTGAGGGCAACCTGAACATAGCAGACATCATCACAAGGGGAGCAACTCCTGAGGAACTCGATGAAGGGTCAGAGTGGCAACAAGGCCCAGAGTTCCTGAGTTGGCCTGAGGCTGAGTGGCCTGTGAAAACGGCCAGTGAGATAGTGACCAGCATGGCTGATGACGTTAAAATGTTGCAGAGAAGAGCGTTCTCAGCTGTAGTCACCAGGTCTCAGGCAGAGAAATTATCAGGCCCCAGCAATACTGATGTTGGGGCAAACTTGCAAGACTCCGCACCGCAACCGCAGATGAAAGACCAAGGTCCAACTCCAGCAGTAGAGAGGCCAAAGAGGAAGCCCTGGGGTGTAGCTCTTGTGCGCCTTGTTGGGCCCGAACGATTCAGTAGCTTGTCTAAATTGTGTGGAACAATCGCCTGGGTTCGAAGAGCTGCAGAATCCTGGCTGAGGACAAGCTACCAAGCCTCGAGCTCAGCAAAGTGGGAGGTGGGGGGCCCCAGGCTGTCTGTGGGAGAGAGAACGGCGGCTTTCCAAGACCTAGCCCTTGCGGCCCAAGACGGCGTGAACTTTCAGGATACGACCAAAAACCGCCTTGTTGTGATTAAAGATGACAACAATGGACTCTTACTTTGTGGTGGTAGAGTCCAGTCTTGGAATGAAGACGGAACCGCTGTACCTTTAATCCCGTTCCGTTCGTGGCTGGGGGCCTTGTTTGCGAGGGAAGCTCACGAAGCGAATCATGAAGGTGTGGCTGCCACACTGCTGCACACTAAAAGAAAGGCCTGGGTTGTGCAAGGTCGGAGGACAGTGAAGAAGGTGGTTAACAGGTGCATCACTTGCAAGAAGCAAAGAGCCCGGCTGTGCCAGCAAGTGATGAGCGCTCTTCCTCAGGAACGTACCAGTAGAGCGAACCCATTCGAGTATACTACACTAGACCTCTTTGGACCCTTTGTCGTAGCCGGCCGCGACCGGGAGACCCATGGGGCGGCGCACAATTGGCCCAGCGTCGTCCAGGGTAGGGGAGGGAATGGCCGGCAGGGGATGTAGCTCAGTTGGTAGAGCATGGCGTTTGCAATGCCAGGGTTGTGGGTTCGATAAAATAATGTATGCGCTAACTGTAAGTCGCTCTGGATAAGAGCGTCTGCTAAATGACTAAAATGTAAATGTAAATGAAGTGAGGGACGCTGTTAAGAAAAGAACCAAGAAAAAGGTCTGGGGAGTCGTGTATTGCTGCATGACTTCCAGAGCCGTCCATGCTGATCTCGTCGACGACCAGTCTTCTGAGAGCTTTCTTCAGGCCTACTCCCGGTTCACTGCTCTGAGGGGGCATCCCAAAAAGCTATGGTCAGACAGAGGCACAAACTTTGTGGGCGCCAGGCCTGCTCTGAGAGAGCTACACAAGCACCTGGCCGGTTTGCAGAAGGCATCCGTTGAAGACAAGGCTGCCAGAAATAGTACAGAGTGGCAATGGGACTTTCATCCTGCAGACTCGCCACACAGGAATGGAGCAGCAGAGGCAGCTGTCAAGCTCCTTAAAAGAGCTCTTAACAGTCTTGGCGGAACAACTGGCTGCTACACCTGGGGGGAGTTCCAGACCCTTCTCTACTCTGCAGCCAACTTGACTAATGAGCGACCCATCGACGCCAGGGCACAGGAACAAGAGGACTCAGTGGAGTACTTGACCCCCAACTCACTTATCCTGGGGCGCACCGGACAGGGAGGAGACATACACGGAATCGACATGGAAACCCACTCTTGGGGCAGACTGAGGGCTGTCCAGGCTGGAGTCGACAGGTTCTGGAAGAAATGGAGTGAACTGGCAGGACCAAACTTGTTCATACGACACAAGTGGCACCGAGCAGAGAGAAGTATCAAGGTTGGAGACGTAGTCTGGATTGTGGACCAGAACGCTCTAAGGGGGCAGTTCCGGCACGGCCGGGCTGCAACAACATATCCAGACGAGAAGGGGGTTGTCCGGGATGCGGACATAACAACCTGCATGGGTCTTCCTGCTCCCATGGTTCCCAGGGCCCGGAGAAAGGACTCTACCATGCACACGACAATCGTCATTCGCAGGGATGTGCGGAGGTTGGTGATCTTGATTCCTGCTGAAGACCAAGAGGAGGTAAGATAAGTCCTCGCCATGGGTACCCAAAGACTGTGACTCTGTGTTCTTTGCTTAGCTAGCGGGTAACCCTGGGAGGCAACTGAGTGCTTCAAGGGCAAACCTACACTCAGTAGGAGGAAAGGTGGTGGAGCCTACCTCCTTAGTTAATACATATTTGTTTGTAAATGCCTTTAGTTTGAAATTCTCACTGAGAGACTCAAGAGACTGTGCCCTCCTTGGATCTTCGATCAGTTGGCCAAGTGGGAGGTGTTGAGACTTCTAGCTCACTCAGGAAAAGAAAAAAGAAAAATAAATATATATATATAAATAGATAAAAGAGAAGCAAATGGGTCTGATGTGTTCAATTAAATGGGGAACGAGTGATTTCTTTAAGTTTCTTAGATGCTCGGATATGTTACGTAATGTGCGCATGCGCAGCTTCACTAGAGACTTAAATTATGGTACCTGGTAATCATTTCACGACAGACAATCATCAGGAGCACACAGCCCGTTGGTATGTAACTGCGAACTACTCACAGTCTAGCATTAATGTTTAAGTCACTTATATGTTTGAGCACTGAACGTTTACCTCACTCTGTCGGTGTTAGTTGGCCGAGAGTAACTTGTAGCTCGCTGGGTGCGGTAGCTCAGCGACCCAGATGCTGTATAGCATTAGGCTATCATTATCAGCCATTTGCGTTGTGCTGATTGTTCAGAGCACTCTGCTGGTTTCTGGTGGCGGTGGTTTGGTTCGGTGATCCATGGTGGAGTGCCGCGTTGTGTTGCGTTTGTGCATGTGTGGGTCCTTTGGACGAGGCATGTGGTGGCATGGGTTCTGTGTCCTGTGGCAGCATCCGTGGCAACGGCGGAGTCGCTGTGCGCATGCTCCTCTGGCGCTAGGCATTCTGGGTGATGTAGTCAATGCTGTTTTAAGCCAGATTTGCCACATTTTTGATGGTGTTGTAGGCTTATTTGATTTTCATTATTTACATTATTATTATTATATTATTTGAATAATATTTACATTATATATTTGAATAATATATTGTCATTATTTGTTTGTTGTAATTCAGGTTTATGACCTGTGGTCATTTGATTTAAAATAAAATTAAGGACAAAACACGAGTCATGACATTGTGTGCTTCCTGGTGAGCCTTTTCGGAGGGCTAAATAACGAAAAATCCGAACAAAGCAGCACAGGTCCTAATCCAGGCACTTGTCATCTCCAGTCTGGATTACTGCTGTTGGCTGGGCTCCCTGCCTGTGCCATTAAACCCCTACAACTTATCCAGAACGCAGCAGCCCGTCTGGTGTCCAACCTTCACAAGTTCTCTCATGTCACCCCGCTCCTCCGCACACTCCACTGGCTTCCAGTTGAGGCTCGCATCTACTACAAGACCATGGTGCTTGCCTACGGAGCTGTGAGGGGAACGGCACCTCCTTACCTTCAGGCTCTGATCAGACCCTACACCCAAACGAGGGCACTATGTTCATCCACCTCTGGCCTGCTTGCTCCCCTACCTCTACAGAAGCACAGTTCCCGCTCAGCCCAGTCAAAGCTATTTGCTGCTCTGGCACCCCAATAGTGGAACAAGCTCCCCCACGACGCCAGGACAGCGGAGTCACTGACCACCTTCCGGAGACACTTGAAACCCTACCGCTTTAAGGAATACCTGGAATAGTATAAAGCAATCCTTCTACCCTACCCCCCCCCCCCCCCCCCCCCCCCCCCCCCATAAAAAAATACAAAATAAGAAAAAAAGTGGTTGTCCCGCTTGCTATCATAAATTGAATGCACGTGACTGTAAGTCGCTCTGGATAAGAGCGTCTGCTAAATGATGTAAATGTAAATGTAAATGTAACCTGAGAAACCCAACAGAATATTGAGTTGATTTTATATTTTATCTAAGGTTGGCAGAAACCTGATAAGACTGAGATATTGCATACTCCTGGGGGCACTTCTCTTCCATACATAATACCTCATACATCTATACAGTATATGCAACCATGAATACAGTAAAATTAGCAGTTTTTAAAGACACACATCTAAATAACCTATACGTTTGAAAATACATTTCCATTTATACAGGTTGTAATGTATAGGCTGTTGTGAATCCAGATATCCAATATCCCTGGATATGAAGTGTAATGCCTCTTCTTTCATGGTTTATGATTTAACTTGACGTGTGTGTCACAGATAATACATGCTCTTTAGGACTGGTTCTGGGTTTGACCTTCACTCACTGTGTGTGGCCTGGTGGCAAAGGGATAGTTTTATCTGTGGTAATACTAATCCCAGAGTCTTCTCTGCATTTAAAGAGTACAGCTGCCACAGTCTGCAATTCCTTTTCTTCCATGTGTATCAGACAACACTGTGTGAAGTACCACACACTGGTTATCTTAGTTTGATCATTAATCTTGTATTGCAAATTCTTCAGACATAAGGCAAGTAGAGTTTGTTTGAGGGGACAGTCACGCTTTAACCATCTCTTGTCACATTGAAGATTTGTGGGACCTAAAGTATGATCAGCAATTGGAAGCAACTTTGACCAAATGGGAAAGTCACGAGAAAGCACTCCCCTTAAAAATTTGAATCCAATAGGGTCAGATGATTTAGGAGATCGTTTAGAACACTTTATGGACAAAAGGGTTTCTTCCAAGAATTTTCTCTTAATCTTTGTTGGGATGTCCAAGGTAACAAGATAAGGCAAACTCTGTGATGGTTCACCTCTGATCTTTAATTGATTGAGAACTGAAGGTACATTTGTAGACGACTTTCTAGTATTTTAGCAAATATCTTCCTTTCATTGGGTGTCATTTCTGAAGCTTTATGTTGAAGTTTTTTATTATATGTCTGCTTTAAGCGTTCGGTTGTTATCAGGTCAGGTATTGTACCAAGTGTTGGTTGTCCAGAGCCAGTCAGAGATTACATTGCCATTACTATCTCAGACCCACATATTTTTCCTGTTCTGACTTTTTGATCATTGTATTGAGACTCAGCTAACTTTGCCAGAACCTCTGTAATTCTACATTCTGGTGTGGAGGGAGTGGAGTTGTCTGCTTTGGCAGGAAGGTAGAACTCCAGAATAACTGGTTTGTGATCGGAAACTGGTTTTGTTCCCTTGACCTTATAGATATCATGGATTCTGCAGCTGTGAGTAATATTATGTGTCCGTTTGAATTCTGGCATGAAGGACATGTCTAACCTGGATGTGGTGTAGTGAGGATCTCAAGACTCTGAGGTCTTAGTCTTTTTAGAGTAGGTGAAGCTTCAGAGAGGAGGCACATTTTTCAAGATAACCTCTAAATGCTTTGTGCTGACGATTATCTGATGTGGCGCTCCTGTCCATTTTAGTGTCTCGAACTGTGTTGAAATCCCCTCCAACCACCAAGGTTCTGATAGCAGTTTTTTAAAGATAATGACCCAGTCTCTCCAGGATTGTGTGGTCATCTTTGTGATTATATACATTCACTAGAGTGAAGAGTTGACCATACAGTCGACAGAACAGTACAATGTAGCCACCAGTGTAATCTTCATCATGGCAGATGTACTCAAAGTCTGTTATGCTGTCTTTAATCAGTATGGCCACTCCTTTGCTTTTTGAATCAAATACAGTGAAGTAAGATTTCCAACCCGGCACATCCTCTAAAAGACTCACATCCTTAGGTCCAATGCGTGTCTCCTGTAGAAACGCTACAGAAGAGTTGATATCCTCTAGCTGGTCTTTTACAGCATGAAGTTTAGGGTCATTATCTGAGGCTTGATACCACAGGTGTTCCAGGTGATAAAGTGAAGAAGAGTAGATCCTTGTAAGGGGAGACTCAGATCGTCCTCTGTCTCTTTTGATGATTCCGATGAGTTCATTCAAATTGATGAGTGTTTTATGAGTGATGGTTGAGGTTGGAATTGTTCTTTGTCAGATCACTGACCTAGGTTGTTCAACACCCTCTGGACAACATGACGAAAAGAAAACGTTGAATAAGGACAGTATCATGGGGAGGAGAATGAGGTGATGTAATGTTGACATGCTGTTAGGTAGATTGAGACTTATATTTATCCAGTAGACTGTATGAAAACTTTCCTCAAGAGCTCTTGTTTAAAACAAAAAAAATCAGTAGATAAAGACAGAGCAACACAGTTAATTGACACTCAGCAGCTAAATCAGAAAGTATAATTCAAATAAGCATTAAATATAGTATACTAATAAGCTAACCTTCTATGGACAAAGAGGCCAGTATTTTTTTATTAAATGTAGAAAATAATCGAATGTGTAATATCCATATTTTCATGTAAACATTTTAATATCAATATTTTCAAGTAAATATTGTATTATCTATATATTCACGGAAACATCTTAAATAAAATCCACAAATAACTAAACCTAAAATTATTGGAAATGCATAACATGAATATAGCAACTCCAGACTACAGTTTTGTTTTCTTACAATTTACACACATTTTCTCTCTCTCTCTCTCTCTCTCTCTCTCTCTCTCTCTCTCTCTCTCTCTCTCTCTCTCTCTCTCTCTCTCTCTCTCTCTCTCTCTCTCTCTCTCTCTCTCTCTCTCTCTCTCTCTCTCTCTCTCTCTCTCTCTCTCTCTCTCTCTCTCTCTCTCTCTCTCAATACGACCATACTGTTTTGATAACCTTTCTTCATTTCTACTGAATAGTAACAGACAGGACTCGTGATTTGTCTTTAATCTCCAAATGCATAGAACATGCATAACTGTTTGGTCAAAAACTCTATAATATGGTATCAATATGATCTTAAAGTAAGTGTGCCTACCCATAAATAGCCTATTTCTCTAACCCATTGAAGGACTCACCTGAGTTGTTGATCCAGGTGTGTCTTCCCTGCCGTGCTGTATGACCCGTGATACTCAGGTGAGTCTCTTTAAATATAAAGGTTGGGTGAAGCCATTTAAACATCCACACCCACCTCTGTATCATCAGATACATTGTGTTGTTAACTGTTAAAGCTACATTATAGTAATATATATGTCTATGTTTCATCTTACATGCTTAATGGGCAGACAGGTGTGTCGTGATGTTTTTAGTTTAGTTTGATTCCTGAGAAAATTGTGACATTCTTTGAACACAAGTTCAGTGATATTTGTATTCAATTAGTTGTATAGATCTGGATAGTGTGTCTAACATGTTACAAACACCTACATGTATTACTGGATAACAGATTATTTGATTCATATATGAACCTTAAAAATAAAAATTGTCTTCTGGGAATTGCATGTGAACACTTAAGGACAAATTGCTTTATTTTCCTACAAGTTCAGTGACGGTAGTGCAGGATGTACTAGATAACTGGGTTATGATTTTCATTATGATTCAATGAACTGTCTTGAGGTCATTTCTATAACTTCACAAAGCACTCATGTGTTTGTTCATAATTGTTTTGTTGTTGTTATGTTTAATAAATAATTTCTGCATTTCAATTCAATTATTGAATTTTGTTTCACTTCCCGAATTGACTGCCTTCAATTCAAATTGACCCAAATCCTGCAATCCACCTAGTCTTGCTATTGCTGTTATTACTTTATTCCTAACACCAATCCAATCCTTTCAGATCTGCACAAGTGGATAGGAATACATTTTCCAAAGGTGTGAACACGGATGTCTGGAACCTTGTTGTATTAAAAACAAAAAACTATGTTTTAAATAGGCATTGGTCTGAAGCTGAAAAGAAAGGAAATTCATGAGCACCACAATGCCTATTCCACACATGCTCTACCAAGGTTTTCCAGCACACAGCTTTGACTTACTACAGTAGCTATGTTGGTTGTTTGAGATGATTTGAAACCTAAGCAACCTGCCTACACATAGTTTGAAGTACAATACCAACATAGCTACTGTAGTAGGTAAACGTTGTGTGCTGGAAAACCTTGTGTAGAGCATGTGTAGCGCTGATCCAGGTGTTTCTTCTCTGCTGTGCTGTATGACCACTGATACTCAGGTGAGTCTATGTAAATAGTTATGTAAAGGTTGCGTGCATCCATACAAATATCCAAACCCACCTATGCGTCATCAGCACCTATCATTGGAAACCGGTGATAAGACTCATGGAATGCCATCCGCAAAACAGAGCTAGAAAGTTCATTTGAGTTTCCATTTCCAATTCAGGTTTTAAATCACTACCTTTAGCAAATTATATCAAATCAATCAAATCAAATTTTATTTGTCACATGTGCCGAATACAACAGGTGTAGTACACCTTACAGTGAAATGCTTACTTACAAGCCCTTAACCAACAATGCAGTTTTAAGACAAATAAGTGTTAAGAAAGTATTTACTAAATAAACGGAAGTAAAAAAAAAATTTTTAAAAAGAACAAGAAAAGCAAATTATATGTTATTGTTGAAGTAGGAATTACTGCCAATGTCATCAAACAATTATTATTTATTCTAGTCCCTTTATTGTATTTTATAGAACATTCCACTTGTATGTTTCTTAAACCTTTAGAAGTAATTAAATCAGGAGGATTTGTCTCTCTATTTGACTTTCCATTGTAAGGTGTAACGTATAATTGCTGCATCCTTTGTTTTGAGGGGGTGGGGGTGTGTGAATTTCTTATTTTTTTTATTTTTGTCTTGCTTTCGGAGTTAAGAAATTTCTTCTGAGAATTGCGTGTGAACATTCGAGCACAAATTACATTATTTTCATAAATTCAGTGATGGAAGTGCAGAATTTACTAGATAATTGGATTATGATTCTTGATTCAGATATGATTCAAATAACTTTCTTGAGGTAATTTTTATAAATTCACAAAGTTCTCATGTGTTTGTTTAGTCTTTACAGGGACAATGGAGGATTAGTTTGTCTAAAGTGGTCAATGTTATTTTGTGATTCTCTCTACTAATCACTGAGGCAATGTTGGTGTGTCATCTCTGTCGTGCTGTATGACCGGTGCTACTCAGGTGAGTCTCTTTAAATATTAAAGGTTGCGTGCATCTATAAAAACAGCCACACCCACATCTGCATCATCAGAGCTTTTTTATTATTAACTGTTAAAGCCACATTACAGTAATGTATATGTTTATGTTTCTGAAACCTATTTATGAATATTGTATCTTTATTTGACATTCTAGTGAGCAAGGCTTTTCGAATAGCTTACCTTTATTTAGAGCAAACATACCGTATACTATTAATCATGCTTAATTAATAGACAGACAGTTGTGTTGTGATATTTTCAGTTACATTTTTGTTTATTGAGAAATGGCAAGACATTCTTTGAACACAAGTTCAGTGACATTTGTATTCAATTAGTTGTATTGATCAGTGTGTCTAATGCTGTGTTCATAACCAAGTGGGAAGGTGTTTTTTACCATGACGTAATTTCTATAACTTCACAAAGCTCTCGTGTTTGTTCAGTCTTCACAGGGACAATGGAGGATTACTGTGTCTTAAGTGTTGCATGTCCTTTTTTGATTCCCTTTGCTTATTACAGTGGAAATGTGAACACATCCTGTTATTCAACAGCTAAAACTAGATAGATCACTTCATGTACTTTCCTTCACCCACACTGAGCAAATTGTTTTTACCTGTCACCTGACGAGGAGAGGGAGCTTTAACCCCAATCCCAAATCTGGAAGATTGTCCAGGTGAAAGCAATCAATTCACCAGGATTGAGGTCAATTCGAATTGAAGGCACTGGGCAGTCAATTCAGAAAGTGATTTGAATTTAAAATGTAAAACTTTTTGAAATAAATAGCTTCTACATTTCAGTTCAGTTATTGAATTGGAATTTAATTTTACTTACTGAATTGACAGCTTTGAATTTGAATTGACCCCAACTCTGCAATCCACCTAGCCTTGCCATTGCTGCTATTACCGTATTCCTAACACCAGTCCAATCCTTTCAGATCTGAACAAGTGGATAGGAGTCAATTTGGAATCGGGCGATAGACTGTTACCTCGACAATAGCCAGACAAGTTACCTCGACTATAGACTTGCTTGTTGTTGGTGATTGGTCAGGTTACACACAAACTGACCAATCGTTCAAGACGTTCTCAATTACATACACAATCAAAGATTTCTCAGCCCTATCTAGGCCTACCCTTCATTGAGCCGAAACATCCTTACTTCAGTAGTGACAATCTGAAGGACATTGCAATTAGCAACTTCTGGATATCTTTTGCTGTGTTTATGTTCTCAGTACAAAACATGAACCCCACAAATCCAATCTCT